GAAGATACTGGAGACAAAAGCCCGTTCACATGCGATGGTGTCCGCCATCAAGCACAAAGTAGCATATGATGAATGCTCAAGTGGCGGCCTTTATTCATTCTGGCTGGTGGTTTTTTTTAGAGCGTCCCGCACAAGGCGCAATAATCAGTTTGGAGGGCGACCTGTCTCAGTCTTGACTTCGGGAATGGCTGTCGAAAAAGGCGGAGGCCCTCTCATGTATATTTTCCTTGTTTCTTGCGCAGTTGATTCCTTCCACTCTACAGCGGCGGATGCAACGGGGGTGGCGCATTTGACTTCACGATGTGGGAGCGATGCGGTCTCGTCGTTTTGTGAGTGGAGTTGTTTGGTTTGTTTGACTCGTTCTGTGTGGGAGGAGTAGTAGTTGATTAGACGCCGATGGTGATGATTATCTTCCGGCAAGGTTTATTGCAAGGCAATGCTGTTTTATGCAATGTTACCAAGTCATGGCATCACTTGTCCATCACTCCAAGGAAACGTTGAAGGCATTGGAAGAGCGAATGCAAGTTGCTGAGAGTAGCATGCAAAGATCCACGCCACATGCAAACGTCCTTTTGCTCCAGGGAACCATCTGGTATCCCTCGCTAGCCTCGCAATGCCTCTACCGTCCCAACGTACAGACAAGTTCCTGTGTACCATGGTATGTACCTTGAGCTTTTGAACAGCTCAAAGTCCAGTGTCTCAAAATACAACAGCCACAACACAAAGAAACATATTGGAAGGCCAAACAGTGCCACAGATGAGGACGACTATGTGCTGTCAACTGAAATATAGTTGGCCTATGTCAAGATTTGTCAGGTTTCATGTTATTTACCCCAAGACTTGAAGAATCGCAGATGAACTTCAAACGCCGGGTAATAGATCCACCGACCGCACACCATGTCCACTGCTGGTCCCTACCTAATTCCGAATCTGGCAGGCGGGATAGCGGTCACGCGTGGCAAAACGCCAAAAAGTCAAGTAAATTCATGGATTAGAGATCCTGATCGCGACAAGCTCCGAGGTCGTCAAAAATGGGCAAACGAGACTTCAACAGCGGAGATGGCGCTGCTGTTTTTCGCAAGCGCCAGAAAGTCGTACACGAGACACCAACGAGCGAAGAAGTCACCTCAAGCGATCAATTGCGCAATCTGCTGTCCTTCGACCAGGATTTGCGCAACGCCAGGCACGGTCAGTGACGATGTTATTGAAGGCACCAACGAATTAGAACTGATACATACCCCTGTAGGTCTTCAGTCTTTCAAGAATCTTCTCGATCAAATAGTTCACGAAGAGGGCGACCGAAGAGCCAACCTCGACATTCTACATCAATACCTTGAAGCCGCCAAGCCCAGAGATACATCCGAAGATGCAGTCTTTCTCAACGATATCATGGAAATGTGGTCTTTCGCCGTACAGGTTAACAACGATGGTGTCATGTCTTCTGTTGCCGTTGTTCTGGCTTTGCTACTCCAGATCCTCTCAGGCTCACTACAGCTTGTCAAGCATGGCCTCGGTATCTGCCAGACCCTTCTCCAAGAACAGCAATTGAAATCATTGGCAAAGAATCTGTCAGCAGAAAAGAGCAAGGGTTTTATCATCTCACCTACTCTCCGTCTCCTTCGAGAAGCCACATGCCTAGATGGGGGCGCCTATGCGAAGCGAATCTTCCGCGCTCGAAATTTCACATTGACATCGTTTGGGCGAAATCTTGAAATCGGGCATACTGGAGATACGCATGAAGATGTGCGCAAAGCTTCCGTCAGAACAAATGCTGTCCGTTTTTTCTTGAGCCTTCTCAAGTTCCTGGGATCAGATGGGCGTAAAGAACTTGTATCGCAGAAGGAACTTTTGTCACATGTGACTTATATGATCAAAAGCGACCCTGCCTACCTCGTTGTGGATATTCTCGACTCTTTAAAGCTCTATGTCCTCAAAGATGACAAGGTCCCCAGAGAAGTCAAATTCCGATGCTTCAACACCAAGTCGTTGGTGCGCTTCTTAGCTCTATACACATACACCAGCGATGGCGAAGATGTCGATGAGAAGTCAACGGTGAGCTATAAGGCCCACCAACTCCTCATCTACATCTGCACGACGCCTACTGCTGGCATTTTATATCCTTCCACTGGTCTATACCCCAAAGAGTCTGAAGAGGACCCAGCGCCAAGTGAGCGTGCTAAGGCTGGTACACAGGGCGCTCTCTTCGCCGACAGATATAAACAAGACATTCCTGTGTACAACTTTGTCCTTGCCGAATTCGCTCAAAAGTTGCGTCCTTGGTCCAGTTTGAAACATAGCGAGCTTCTGGTAGCGATCTTCACTGCTGCCCCTGAACTTGCTGCAAAATATTTCCTAAGCAACCGATCTTTCACGTTCGAACCAAAGTTATCCATGACATGGATTGGATATGCCGCGTTCCTTTTCAATACTATGCAACTACCTCTCCCTCCTCGCTTCGGAGATCGATCGCGATCTGCTAAGGCACCTCCTCCCACGTCCATCCTCCTCGGCAACATTATTCCACTCCCCATCAATCAAAAAGTTCTGATCCGATGTCTCTCCTCCAAATCCAATCTAACATCATTCTTTGCTACGCGCATTCTGATCGTAGCAATCGAGAAGTTAGCTGAAGCTGTCAAGATGCATGAAGAGGTTCCGAAGGGCAGTGATCCTGTCTGGGCAGAAGCGAGCCGTCGTTTAATCGATGCTTTTTGCCAACGCATTCCGGACATGAAGGAAATCGTTCGGTCTTACAAGGGAATACCAGCTGAGAACATTCTCCATAAGACCATGGCCAGTCGTTTGCTACGCCTTTACTATGAGGTTATTCCCCAAGTTGCTCTTGCTGCCAACTTTGACGTTTCGCCTTTCTTCACAGAAGCTCTCAAGTCGCTCAACAAGGAAAGCGAGCAGCATGATGACGAGCCACTAAGAGTTATGGAGCTCGAGAACTTGGTGTCAATTGCCAGTTATTCCCCTGGTATGCGTTGGTTCTCAAGGATAGACAATCTTATTGATGGAGCAGGATCGTCGCCATACACCGCCCTCCTACGGCTGCTTTGTGATAAGAAGCGAGATCTATCTTTCCAACAGCTGAAGAAGGTTCTAGGCGAGGTCGCAGTTGAGAACCAGATGGTAACGAAAGCGTCCCTGATGAGCCCACTATTCGAGGCCCTCCAGACAACGCTAGCCGACAGCAAGGCAAAGCCAATGGAGAAAGTTTGGTCATATGTTGACAACTGCGTCAACCGATGTGCCTCCTCGCCAATCAAGTATCTCGATTTGTTAGAAACATACGCCCAGGAAGATGGTGTATTATCTGGTAGTGAGACTGCTTTGGTTAACGTGACCCTAGTAGAGCAGTTGTCGTTTGCAATGGGCTCTGCTAGCAGCGATGAAGAAGCTGCGCTTGGCCAATTCTTATCTTGCTACTTCTCTACTTCATACACATTCAAGCCCGGAAAGCAACTCACCAAAGCTCTATACAAACGCATCTCAGGACAGTTTTCTTCAAGCAAGGTCAAGATGAAAAAGCTCAAGGAGGAAAGATCTAATGATACAGATGCTGATGAAGATATGCCTGATGCCGATACTGTTGATGTGAAGGGTTCAAAAGATGGCTCGACCATTGATTCTTCAAAGCTCGAGGCTATGCTTCATGTACCACTCCCTGAAGACGAGGATACCACAGCTTTGACAAAATGGGCCGGTAAAAACGCTGAAGACCTCGTTGAAGACGGCTGGGCAGCAGCCTTGATTCGCCTCCTCTCCTCTCCCCATACCAACATCCGCAAGGAATCCCTCACCAGCATTCTCAAGATGGCTGCCAAGCTCAAGGAATCTTCATACGAAGAAAAGGAACAAGTTTGGCTCCTCTTGTGCGAACTTGCCGAGTCATCGCGTGATCAAGTTGACAAGGGCCCAGTCCCTTCTGCCTTCACTGCCTTCGCCATCCACGCTCTGGATGTCCTGAAGAATCCACTGCATCCACTCTACCCCAAAATCAACAGCTTCCTCACACGCAGCCCTGTTTGGTCTGCTGAAAAGCTCCCCCTCGCCCACGACATTCTTCACGGTGAACCCTCAGAAGATGATAAGTATTACACCGAAATCACATGGCTTCTCACGTACCTCCTTGACAGCTTGCGCACACCCTCCGACCTTGGCATCTTTCATCGCAAGCGATGGTTTGAGAAGATACTCGCTCTCGGTGCTAACCCTTACTTACGTGTCAATCTACGAACTCGTCTGCTACGTCTATTGTACCGCGCGACTTGCATCGAAGGCGGTAGCACCACGTTGACGACTCGCTTCGGTATCCTCAGCTGGCTGGACTCGCAACGGGCTGCATTTGAGGGAGGTGAAGAGGCAGATGTAATGGTTGCACTCATGGCAAGGGTATGGGAGACATGTGACCGAGAAAAGGTCAAGGTCTGGAGTAAGGGTGGCGTCGAAAAGTTACTTGCCAAGCATGATTTCTAAAGATGAATGGATTGGATATATAAGCTAGACAAATTTACACATACAACTGTTAATACCCAGCATAAGAAGACGACAAAGACTTCCACGTATCAAGGAAACAAACATCTCCTATAAGGTACTCGAATGCTCGCGATCTGTGCAGTCGACTTCAAGCATCAATTGAGAAATTCATGGTGAACGTTATCACTGAAACATCATTGTTCAAATTTGTTCGCACATATGTACAGATCCATCCATCTACCAAACAATAACCAGAACGGACACCATAAAGACGACAAAATATATATACCCCTGGACACAAAAGATACTCTCCCTCGCTGACTACCCCACGCATTAATATGGATAAGAGCAGCCTTTTGGTTCTGCCGTTAACAAAAATGTTGAGTTTTTAATTTCCCATCCAAAATTCGCCGTTTTCAAATATGAAGACCTCCAAAACAAATTTAAACATGATTGTCGCAAGGCTGTATGAGCATTATAACGACCGTCTCAATGGATACATGCTGAGTCTAAACAGTCTACAATTGGCCAGAAAGCAGGGCTTCAGTTGCTGAGAAATTGTCAGCATGAGATCGAATGAAATGAATGGGTTATAGAGTATTGACTTACCAGAGTTGATGTAGGCCCTCTTCGCGTCTAGAGGAACATTGAATCGCCTCTCCAGCTCTTGCTTTATGCCCTTCTTGGTGACAGTCATCAAGTCGGCTGTCTTGAGGATGTCGCGAATCTCGGCGAGGAGTGCATCATCACTAGGCATGCCAACCATCTCCTCGGGAGAGAAGAACTGCGAGCCACCAAACTGGCTCGCACGGTTGCCAGGCATCTCAGAATGGGCCAGAGACATGCGAGACATGTTCTGGTGGCCGAAGCCAGCTGTTGAGCCAGGGCGGCTGGGCTGGTAGCCACCACCATACTCAGAGAAGGGTCCCTGAGCCTTGGTGGCATAACTGTAACCAGAGATCTCTGATCGCACATCATCACGAGCAGTCTGGGTCTGTGTCTCCCATAGCTCGGCTTGGTACTCCTCCCACTTCTTGCGAGGGATCGAGCTGGGATCAAACTTGCCCTCGTCTGAAACAACGATCTTCTTACCGGCTTCGCCAGCAATAACTCGAGTGTTACCCCAGTTGAAGTCATCCATGTGCCAGAAGGAGTACAGGGGCAGACCGAAAGAGAAGACAGGAATGGCAGCAATATACATGATCATCCAACCAACCATCTCCCACTTGCGTCGGAGGATGAAGATGACAGCCTGTAGACCGTAGATGGCACCAAGCAACAAGAAAGCTGTAATAGGCACAACTGACGGGTTGGTAGCGACTTGGTAAATCAGGTACACGATATACATGACAATGACAGGTTGGACGATAGTGCTCAGAAGATCGATGAAGACAACAAAACGCATACTGAAACAGCAGAAGCCGCAAAGCTGGGCCAAAGGAATAAGCTCAGCCAAGTTGTGCACAGTAGAGTTGATCCAGCGACGTCGCTGAGACAGGAAGACAGACCAAGAGTCAGGAGCAATAGTCCAGGCTTGTGCGCTGAAGAGGTATTTTGTCTTGTACTTGGAGTGATACTTGAGGAGCAAGGTTGTGAGATATCGATCCTCACCAAGATGGAGCAAGTTCTTCATGTGCAGGGTATCAACACGAATCGTGGAGTAGTCTTCAACGATCTCCTTGCTGACGAACAAAGGCTTGCCGGTCTCCGCAGCGCGAATTCGATACATGGAGAAACAACCAGGCAAACAAGTGACTGAGCCGAACAAACTCTCGAATGCCTTGGACAAGTTGTGCGAAATCCAGTACTCGTAGACCTGAATCATAGTGATGAAAGAGCCCTTAGCGTTGGTGAGAGCGGTTTCACCACAGCAAGCAATCAGGCGAGTATCATCGATGAAGGCTGAAATCATTCGAGTAGCTGAGTCTGGAGCGACGACAGTATCGGCATCGATTTGGAAGAGATATTCGTAGAAGGTCGGATTCACGCCAATAATGTTGCGGATCTGGTGATACATCTCCAGCTCCATGGGACTCATGGCGAGGTTGTAGTGGACGCGGTTGAGGAAACGCATGAGAACCATCTGGGAGTCTCGTTTACCACGGTTACCGGGGCGAGAAACCTCAGAAGGCTTGCCCACCTTGACAATGACCATAAAGGGGACGATGTGGCCTTGGACCTCGTAAAGACCCGAGTAGATCTTACCCATATTATGCTGCTTCATACCCTCACCGAGAGCCTCGAAACTGAGAGGCTCGGGGTCGACGGTTTCGGAGACACCAAGAATATCCAGCACGATGCGAGGCGTAGGCCTGTCGTTACCTTGACCGATAATCATACCGTCACAGACAACGACAAGAAGCTTACGCTTATCATCATATTTCATGCGAGAAAGCGAGTCAATAGCACGTCGCAACGAGTCTTCATCTTCGGTATAAGCGGGAATCATACACATGACGAACTTGTCAAGGTTCTCGGGCACGTTCTTGCCACCGAATTGGAGCGCAGCAAGGAACTTGAAGACCAAGATAGATGCCAGCATGACTGAAATAGCCAAGATGAAGTACGTAGCGAACTGACAACGGACGGAGTTTCGAGTATCTGAGTCACCAATGTAGAAGAGGTTGTTCAGGCAGGTCTCCATGCGTTGTTTCTTGACAGGGCTGAGCTTGATGTTATCCCAGTACTTGGAAACATCCTGACCCTTGGCACTTCGGAACAGCTGGACGACACTGTCCTCCATGAAGTCTGTGGCACCTGGGATGTTGGGAGTAGGCTTGCCGGCCTTGGCCTTGAGACGGAGACCACCCTGGAGGTACTTGGTCATGTCGTAAACCTTTCCGTGAATAGTGACGACGTTCCAAGAACTGTCTCGGGCCAGTTTCTTGACATATTTGGGGCTGTAACCCATGCGGCCCTTGAGGTAGACATGCTTAAAGGTGTACATCTGCTCGAAGTACCAATCAGGTCGGCTGTCGTTGGTGTAATAACGGAAATCATGGTAGACGGAGTTGACATCAATATCTCTGGAAGCAAGAAGCTGTGGCTGACCAGTGATGTTGGTGTTTCGGTTGTCAAGAGTGACCTCAGGAGGAATCTGACCGTCTTTGCCCTGGCACAGAGCAGACACTTGGATGGGGAAAAGAGCGCTGATATCCTTGCCGGCATAGTTCAAGAGAGTATCCTCACTGACAAGGTTGCTACCAGGATAATGGTTGGGAATGAAGGCATTGAGGTCAATAACGAAGCCGCGGATAGCAACGTAGGCGCCCTTGCTGCCCTTGTCGCCGTCGTAGGAAGAGAGTTCGTTGGAGCTGTAAACATACTGCTTGGGACAAATGAGCGTGGGGAATCCGACCATGAAGAAGGCGGCCACGGCACACATCAACCAAATAAGCATGTTAATCGCCACCTTTTCTCTCCAGGCCATACGAACATCCTTTCGAGGCATACGTCCGATCAGTCTGATGGCAAAGTCGGGGATGAACCAAGTGAGGAAGAAGACGAGGGCTACCCAGCGCTTGCGGCTAGGCTTATCTCGGTACTCCTCAACCTCCTCGAGAGACTTCTCGTTGCCTCGCTCAGCCATCTGCTCACGTGTGTCGAGGTTCTTGAACATGTCACCACCACCAAATGCAGAAACACCAGCCTCGGATCGAGTATCGTCGGTGAAGTAACCACCCTTGGCCTTCTCACCGTACATGAGAGGGGTATTGCCACCGGAAACCAAATGCTCCTTGGAGGCGCCGAAAGCCATAGACTCAGCAGGTGTGAGACCATCACCAGCATCGGAAGAAGGCAAGCCACCATAGCGACCAGAAACTGAGACTGCCTCCCCGAGCTGGGCAATCTCCATCCAGCAGCGTTCACTAAGGAAAACACCAGTGGCACCGACTCTGACTTCATTCTGGGGCCACTGCTTCTCCTCAATGACCATCTCAGCACGTTCTCGTTCACTGCCAACCAAAATTGTCTCCGCATCCGTCATACCCAGAAACTCGCCGAAAGGCAAGAATAAACTGAAATCGGCAGATCGAAGACGCTGGCTGATTTCTGCAATACCAAAAGTTTGGACCTGCATACGAACGCACTTACTGTCGAACTGGTTTGCAATTCGTCGATCGTTGGGCTTCAAGCAAAAGACGAAATATGAGTTGGTGCCGGGGTCAGTGACAGCCTTCTGGACGTTGTCCAGCGAGGCAAGGAACTGGCCTGAAGCACCTTGATCGAGAGTCATCTTGGCGTTCTTCTTAGACTCTCCAGCCTGGCTCTGCTGATCTAACTCCTCCATAGCCTCTTGCTGCTGGCGCTTGTAAGCTGTGCTGGGGCGACCAGTTCGGTGCGTCTTTCTAGACATGACACTAGGCGCTCGCATGGGCTTTGAGCTGACGGTAGCCTGCATAACAGTAGTGCGTTCATTGGGGTGAGTCACGGTCTGGAGAGCGTCTTGGCCGAAAAGGCGAGCAACAAACTCACTCTTGGTACCGTTGATCATATTGAGGAGATCACCAGAGATGATCTCGCCGTTCTCCTCGATGAGTCCCTTGACAGGGTAATCCACCTCACCAGCAAAGTGCTTCACGGTGAAGACGGCAGAGGTGTTCTCAGTCATGAAGTTGCTTCCAGGAAGCTTAGCTTGAGCAGAGCCAACCTCGATAGCAGCGTTCTTGCCATCGAAACGTCTTCGGAGAGCCTCAAGGAATTGCATATCTGTTCGGTTTCGTCGAGTTTGATCATCGAGAATGCTGAGAAGACCATTGCCGGGCTTCAAGATGCCTCGAACAGCGTCCGAGTTGTCGAAATAACTGGTCGCAGCAACACTGACCTCCTCGGACTCCAGCATGTCAGCCTTGCGGTCGAAGAAGTTCTGGAGAGTAAGGTTGTAAATGCATTCGGTAGCGGCATTATTGAGAAGTTGGTCGAGCGCAGAGCCAGTGGGAGTTTGCTGACAGAAACCGGGGAAATCGACGATCGAGACAGTGTTGGCAATAGACTCCTCGGGTGCACAAAGTCGCTGGTTGATGGTCTCGAGAATCCAAGCAACGAGAAGGGAGTAGAGTGTTCGGGCAAGCTCTCCAGCGTGGGCACGGGCACCGTTGGGGTCGAGCATAACAGTAACACGTTCTCGGTGAATCATTTTGGTCTTATATCCCAAGGTGGTCTGGAGGTCAGCGGCGCTGACACCAAGGAAAGCAGCGATGATGCTGAGAACATCCTTGTTCTTGACAGCGGTGATGGTTGTACCACCCTCGTGGGAGAAACCACCACTATCGTCGCCAGTTACGCTGGTCTGGCTAGTTGTCTCAAACTCTAGTTGACCAATGTGAAGAATACTGGCGAGAATTTGGCAAATCTCGGCAATTTCAGCGCGAGGAAATTCGAGCTTTCGCAGAGCATTCTTGAAAACTTGGAAACCTTCTGCGTCGTTGATTCCGACCTTGAGCTGAGTGGGATGGCCAAGATACTTCCATCGTTTTTGAGTGGTTCCAGTGACAGAACCACCGTCCAAGCCGAGATGAGACTTTTCGGCCTCGCTTGTTCCGGCAAGAAGATAGTACAGAACGTGGAAGTTGCGCTCTCCTGTAGGAACATCGGCGATACGGCTACGCTCCAGGCGATGATCCAAGAGCTTACCACCAATCAGAACAGGGTTTGTGGTGGCTGAAGTATCGTACTGCAACTCGTAGAAGAGCCCGGACTTGGAAGCAGTGGGTGTTGTAGCAGTCTTGGTAGTTGTGAGACTATCAAAGACGTATGCGGCGAGAGAGAGCTTTGTGGACAGAGGCGTTGACGATTTGTTGAGAAGAGCAGTCAGGAGGTGGGCTCGAATAGTAGACTTTCCAGCGCCAGATTCACCCCTGAATCCGTATATTAGTATTGATAAACTTTGGGTTCAGGTCCCACGCTTTCAGCATCATAGACTTACAAAAAGACAACGGCTTGGTTCTCGGATCTATGTCCCAATCGCAGAAAGGCTCTGTCAGCGATTTCCTCGGCGCCAGCCATGGCGCTACCTTCCTTGCCACCATCGGGACCCTTTGAGGAGTTGGTATAGGTGTTGAGAGAGATGAGGGCGTGAGAAGACAGTCGAGCGGTAGGATGCGAGACATGAAAGCGACTGGCGAGATGAGCAGTGAGATGCGTGTCGGATTGAAGATGTGCAGGCAGCGATGGCAGAGAGGGTTGAGTGTGAGGGCCTCCTGCGCCGCCGAGCTGTGGGAGGCTCATGGCCATGATGGATAAGCAGCCAGCAAGTGGCTCTCGAAGGTTGTAACGACTCGGTAGATCTGGGTTTCGGCAGTAAGGCTGTGGTTGCGAATTGGGTTATTAGGAAGTTGTTATGGTCGTCGTTGGTTTCGATCGTATTATCGTCTAGGTTGGTTGTTCAGCAGTCAAGCAGGCACTCAGCGAAGGTTTAGAATGCTAGTAGACAAAACGAGTGTCGGATAAAAACAATAATAAAGATTTAAAAAAGGGAAGAAGAGCCAGGACCCGGAAACAGAAGCCTTCACCAGAACGATAGGACTTGGACTGGTAGTCGTAACTCTACTTGCCAAGGTAAAGGAAAGGTATGAACACCAACGAAAACAACCTGGGCTCGGCTGGGAAAAGGGATTGTTTTCTTGGGACTGGACTGAAATGGACTGGACTGGACTGGACTGGCCACATGCAAGTCTCCTCTCCTCCTCGTACACGACAGGGAGAGTGCTCTCTACTCTCTACATGGTAAAAGGTGGGATTGTCAGTACGGTAGACTACTGATACCACTAATGCAGCTCGGGCATAGCGCAAGGCCCCCCTTTGGCCTTGAACAATTTCTATGTTTGGATGCTGTCCCACGGCCACGGCATAAAAATGGACGCCATACGAGGTTTTACCCTGCCCATAGCCACACGGCACTGCCGGAAAGCTTCAACATCTCCCCCCCTGGATCTATTTCTGTTCTTTTTTTGCCTCTGTTTTCGCCTCACCTCGTCTGGCTCTTGGCAGTCTTTGGTGAGTCTGAGATATTCAAGTGTCATTAGTAATAAACACGATTTGGGAGATGATGTTAGTCCTGTGAGCCATCTGCTATGATGAGCTCAACCATTGGATCAAACTCATTCAGTCATAAAGCGACATATTAAATATTAGTCCTCCTGAATCATTTGAAGCAATTCGGCACTTCAGCTGAAAGTGTGTGATGAGTGGCATTTCTTCGCATTAAAAACCACTCAGGAGTGCATTCAAGTGCCAATTAAAGTTGGCGTATTTCCTCATACGTACTACTTGTATGTATAGGGGTGTTGACGGTTTCTGAAACTGCGCTTGCGGACAACTAATTGAATTTTACAATCATGATGAGATCGAATGCCACGATTTTAATAAAAGACCCGGCGGTGGTGGCTCGAGGCTCTGTCCAACTCATCTAGCTTATTACACGCCACAAACGGTCAGCCATGACAATTATAACTTGAGACCATGTCTTGTGATAAGCATTCCACCCGTTTCCCGTCTGCCAGCAGAGGGCCAAAGGTTCAGCTGTTTTGTTGATGACTGCAGCATTCATCAGGAGACGGACATATGCACCAACAAATCGTAGCTCATCATGACCGGCGCGAACTCTGTCAATAGTAGACCCCTAAAAAAGAAAACCCTTGCCAACTCTGGCCCAGTAACCAACCAGTTGTTCCTCAAATGGCATCCCCTAATGCTAAGCTAACCCGCACAGACAGGGACGACACAGCGGGTCATACAAAAGGCTTGTTTACTTTGATGCCCCATGCTCCATTTTATGTCCCATACTGTGTGAATACGTACTGGTATGGACCAACTTATGGCTTCTGTCTCTATAGGTAGAGTCCGGTTTTGCGTTGCAAAGCTTGAGACATGTTTCTGCCTCAACTTCGGCTTCCTTGATATTGAAATCCAGATGACCAATTGACTGGTGCTCGGGTCATTGAAGATGTTGGCTGCCTAGGGGAGGAAAGAAAACACAGAACCCCGATCCTGAGTGACAAAAAGACTTATGTAATATAGTCTAAGCTTCGGATAGCTTTTAATGAGTTTATTTTGGCACCCTATATCAAGGTTTGCTGTTTTCTTGCCCCAGTTCCGTCTCATCATGGTGGCAGGTTTTATAAGGCATTTCCGAGACACTTGAAGGGATCGAGACATGAGCAAAAGTCTGGGCAAGACAGCATGTGCCTAAAATATTTTATAAAACGTCATTGCAGGACCCTCTACCTGCCCTACCCTACGCCATCGACAAGCAAGGAAAGAATGCAATTTTAGTGATTATGAAGGCTACATATTGACAATCTCTCTTGAGGTACTCTCAGGGGTGTTCAACAAACTCCAACAGCAAACCTCTCAGGCAAGCGTCAACTGAACCAGGGAATGTTATCGCCTTACTGGGGTCAAGACCGCTCCAGTGATCGATCCTACCACTCGGCCTTCTGGAATGTGTGAACGACGATGCTAGCCCGCAACAATTCCCTGTAACCTTTATTTTAGGGGAGCGGGAGTCCATTGATGCGCGTCATGTGGAGGAGGCACAATCATCGTGACGGAGAGCAGCCTGTCTTTGTTCGTCACGACTACATAAGATCACGAGGCTTTCGGTATTATTTGTTGTTCTCATTTACGCGACATCCATGCCAGAGTTCGTTCAATTTTGCGAAGCGTGAGTGGACGGGAAGCGCGCTCCGTCAGAACATCTGAGACATCCTTACTGGCTGATCTGCGAGATGATATGAGGCGGAGGAAAAGCAAATGGATTAGCCTGTCCCAGCTGCGGATCACTTTTGCTGTCATTGCCAGCAGGGAGCATTACCGTTAGAACTAACGAGAACCACTACGCACCTCCCGTCGAAGCCTACGTTACCGCTGACTACCTTGGCTATTTTATGGATTACGGCATTTACCATACGCGCCATGAGGCGTGTCAGATGTTGGCAAACGTTACAAATTTGTCTTGTGGCACATAACCGCGGATCGAGCTGGAGAGAATAGCCTGGAAAGCAACAGTTACATGTAGATCTGTGATAGTCATAGTCTCCTGAGATTAGGGCCGCAACCAGATAAGATCTTCGGACAATACGATCTCTCGAGCCGGTTGACGTCTGTCTTGATCAGACCATGCTGGTGGTGAGCCTGTCAGAGTGTAACCACAGACGAGGAGAAATTATGGGTTGTGTAACACCCACGTAGGGATGCTATTCATACCGTCACGGATGTAAAAGCACATCATGACACTTCAGGGAGACTGCGGATACTGAGGTTCGCATGCACAAACGAAGGACCACGACACGACACGACACGACACGACACAGCCTCTGTTCCTCTTCCAGATCACCAAGACACACTCAACAAGATGGATCCATTCAGTCATCCTCCATCATACGAAGTTTTTTTTTGCGTGTTGTGCATCGCGAGACAGAGAGGACGGACGCGTAGCCAATGCAGGTGAAAGAATATGTACATTGTCCTAATCCTCGTATTGAGCCGGCCCACACACCTAAACTCCAATCCAGACCCAATCCTTACTAAACACAAGGTTTACTGCCCTGCCCTCGGGTCGGGCCCCTTACCCCGACAGGCGATGGTACGTCCGGCTGTTCCAAGTTTAGATATGGATGCACAGATCCATTTGTAGTGACAGACAGTACAGTATTGGACAGTGCTGGGTGTTGGAAGAATATGATAGAAGCAGTTAAATTGACAGTTGGAAGTTGTTGTTGTTCATCGATGGGCCTCCAGTGGCCAGTATGTTCTGTTGGTGTCCATTTCACCCGCAGCTGAAAAGAACATTGACCTCTCGTCCAGTGAAACCACCCCTTTGAAGTGCATAACGCGCCTGATGCGCCACGTTCTGAATGCTACCAATATCGAGTTGGGACGTTGGACTTGTATCTAAAGCCCTCTATGGTCCTCCGTACACAGTGCATCACATCAGCCGTATCCATTTTCGGAGACGCCCTTTTTTGCTGGGGGGCGCTACTACGGCACTAGAGCGCAGTACTATACCTACATACAGGACAGTGGAGGCCCATCCTCTACTCGCTACTCGGCTACCTTAGGTTGCTGTCTCTAGACTACCTTGGGTACCTCCCCAGCCCAGCCCAGTCCAGCACAAGACCCAGTCGTTTCTTCAACTCTTGGGGATCCTTTCTTTCGAGAGCGTTTTGTGTCTTGTCATTTCCCTTTGCTCTCGCTTTCGCTACAGCTTCAACTGACCGGCCTCACTCGCTTTGGCTGTGTCTCTTTTACATCAATCAATCGTTACTTAACAATTATCAACCTTGACCAAACTCCTTGCATTAGTACTCACAGCCGCCCAGGCCGTGATACTTCATTCGATCAGCCCAAAAGGAGGGTGGCGTTGCCCAGCGACCAAAACCTTCATCTCATCATTCGACAAACTCACTCCAAGCCTTTAAGCCGCATTCAATTGCTTGCAGCGGACCTCTGGTCTATTCATTCGCTCACACTACTAATTGTTACCCGTCTGTCGTTCCTAGGACGTAATACCCTTCAACAGTCAGTCTGCTCAGTTGCACTTAATCTCGGCCGTTGAACCCAGTCCCGTGTACAACATTCACATCGCAACGTGTAATAACCTGTGATTGTCCCCGTCGAGGGCATCACCGTCATTCATCATGGCCAGCCGAATGTCCATGTACTCGATGGCTTCAGAGGCCCTGGGTGGTGGTCCTCAAGCCGCCCAGGTGTCCACCACAACTCTCCTGAACGCCATCCACAACATCTACCTGTCTTCTCAGCCCTATCAACTCGATGCCAGCACCAGTCTAGTTGTCAATACGTGGCTTACCGCTGCTCAGGCTGGAGCTACTGTTGATGCTACTCTCGCTGCTCGAGCTTGGGAACATGCAAGACGCCGTGCTGAGGATGGCTGTGTGATCTTGGGGTAAGTTTCTTTAAAAACGATTATGTTCCGCTATCCTAACATTGTACAGATCACTCCACCAGTCAACTCCTTCATTGCTCGTGCCTTTCCTCAACACTTTCCCCTTCGCCATTCCTGCTTCCATCTACAAGTCTCTGGAAGCTTTACAACCGTTTCTCCGATGCGTCACTCCCTACAATGCTTCCGCTCCACGACAGATCGCTCTCGGCGTTACACTGACCTTGAGTTTGGGAGGAAATGTTACAGGCGCCTCGCTTGCTTTATCCCAAGGTGGCATCGACACCGAGAACGGCTTGCTCAATATCCCCGCCGAGGCTGGCTACCG